GGCCGTGACTCTCGCGAAAGCACAACTGCGCCTCTCGCTGAAGCAAAACCGTGACTCTCGTGAAAGGAAAAAAAATACAAAAAATGCGTTTTTTTTCGTTTCCGAAAGGCATGGCCGTGACTCTCGCTAAAGCACAACCGTGCCTCTCGCGGAAGCAAATTCGTGACTCTCGCGAAATCACAACCGTGCCTTTCGCGAAAGAAAAAAAACAGAAAGCGCGTATTTTTTTCCTTTTTGAGAGGCACGGCCATGATTCTAGCGAAAGCACAACCGTGCCTATCACGGAAGCAAAACCGTGACTCTCGCAAAAGAAAAAAAAACAGAAAACGCGCTTTGTTTTTCTCTTTCCGAGACGCACGGCCGTGACTCCCGCGAAAGCACAACTGCGCCTCTCGCGGAAGCAAAACCGTGACTCTCGTGAAAGAAAAAAAAATACAAAAAACGCGTTTTTTTCGTTTTCGAAAGGCATGGCCGTGACTCTCGCTAAAGCACAACTATGCCTCTCGCGGAAGAAAAACCATAACTCTCGCGCAATTTTTCTTTTTCAAAATTGTTTTTGAACGAAAAGCTAAGGAAGACTGGGGGAAACCAAAGCATAAAAAAAAACCTGAAAAAACCGTTTAAAAAGCCAAAAACGCGTGCGGAATTTTTTTTTCAGAGGGAGCGTCCAGAGCGCGACACGTGGCGAATGGCTGAGAGCGTGCCAAGTGGCGCTGATCGTTGCGAGGCTCCCAAAGGAGCGCTCGTTAACTGGTTGCTCCCAAATCTCACACCTCTAATTGAACTAATCAAAATTTTCACTGAAACCATGCGTTCTACACAAGAAAACAAGAACCGCTAGTTAATTGAGCTCATGTTTGTTGCAGAGAATATGTCAGAAGAAATGTCAATGTTCGGACGCGCCGGTGTAGGTAGAGATTCGGCGCACCCTGGACATCGAGAGATCCCTATTGAGCATGCTCCGCAAACCTCGATTGATGAGTTGTTGAAGGTAATAAAAGGAGCCAATGGCATGCCGGTGCTGTTCATGCCCACCAGCGACGGCCGGCTGGCAGCAGTGGCCGTAGACGGCCTTGAGAGTTTGATGCCCGCCAAACGCGAGGGCAGCGACCCTGTCAAAAAGAAGGAGGAGGATTTCCGTGCCTGGTTGTTTGTCCTGACATCACTGGTTGCTACTGTCACCTTCGCCGCAGGGCTCACTCCACCCGGTGGCTTCTGGGCGGATGACAACGGGTACGTGGCTGGTACCCCGATTATGCGAGATAAATTTAGCAGAAGGTATTTCCTGTTTCAGTACTGCAACACCTGCGCCTTCTTCACGTCCTTGACGATCATTGCATCGCTCGCCAAGAACTGGAATATCGAGAAGATCATGACTATTCCATTCACAGGCCTTGTAGGAGTTTGTTTTCTGAGCATGGGAATTAGCTTTATCGCCGGCACGTGGAACAGCAACGCCGGCCCCACACAACTGTGGCCTGCCATTTTTGTCCTTGCAATTAACATTGTGTACATGACGGGGGATCGGATTAAGGAAATGTTTTCCGGTATATAATCTAGTAATAGCTGTGAGGACTCCCCGAATCCGGTGCTTAAGAGATCTGCTCAGTACTATGAATGAGTAATGCTAAAGAAGAAGCTTCGCAGACTTAAGTATGCACTCATGGACTCGATGGTACTTGTAGTGAACCCTGGTATGTGTATTGTATTTGTAACTCCGTGAGAACCCAGCTTCTGGTACTCATCTTCTTTGTAACTCCTGGTTTGTATATTGTATGTGTAACTGAGTCGGTGGTAATTATGCCCTCATCGAGTCATTAGTAACACCTATTTTGTCACTTGAAGTTGAAGTTATAATAAGTATTCCTCCTCTATATCTAAGTCATACCGTGGGTCGCGGTTACGATAGATCAAGGCCCTGTTTGTTGGGCTACAGCTGAACGAGACGCAGCAGAAGCTGGTAGAAGCAGGCTTGAGCTATAGAAGCTGGTAATCCAAAAAAAAAAAAAACCTATCTGGGAACTTTTTCTAGGACAGCTGATGAGGATGAAGTTGGTGGTGAAAGTCTATAATGCCCTGGATGCTGAAGATATTTTTAAACACTGATTTATCAGGTTATCTTGTGTAGCACCTCAAAAAACATGCTTAGCACCTATTTTAGCCCAAAATTTATTTTTCGTTGCTAAGTAATTATCAACGATTTCCATTAACATATGGAGACATGCACACGTTCACTTTAATACCACATGATATATTAGTAATAACAAGGACTACAAACTATAAGTAGTATCCCATATTACAATTAAGTTAGGACCAAAATACAAGCCTAGTCTTTAGGCACACTAGTCACCATCTTCATCTTCCTCCTATCCATCGTCCTGTCCGATCAAAGCGTGTGCAATATCTTCATGAATGTCAGTCAGGTTGACATGCTCGGCTTCCACATGAAGGCCATGAAGTGGCGTAGATTTCTCAGATTGAATGTTACCCAACACACAGTTCTCATCTTGAACACACAAGCAAAACTCCTTGTCATGGAGATTACTCTCTCTTATCCAATTATGGAGCGCTATACATGCAACTATTATCTGGGTTTGCTTCGCAACTGGGTAACTTGTGACATGTTGTAGAAGACGCCATTTCATCTTGAACGCACCTTTCAATGACATTCCGGAGTGAAGAATGAGCATGGTTAAAGACTTCCATGTTCCACTTGGTTTACGCCTTTGTCGAAACTCCAGCAGATGGTACTTTGTTCCATTGTATGGAGCTAGATATCCGGTCGCATTGGGAATAACTCGAACCAACAAGATAGCATTTTCATGATAAGTGCTAGAGTTAGTACAAGGCAATGAAAAGAAGACAATATTATTTAGGGAACACTAATGCACAAGCTAACCTGCAGGTGAATGTGGAAAGCCCTACTTTGTCAATGTATCTTTGAAAATCCTTGTGGCATGTGCGGTTCTGGGCCATCCGGCGACTATTGATGTGAATCTCATGTCAAAGACACCCACTGCCATCATGTTTTGTGTCGGATATCTATACCAACCAATATGGTTAGCAATGTCAATTGTTGGCACAACAAAACATATGTGTGTCCAATCAATTGCACCAATGCAATTGTTAAAATGAGGCCAGAATCTAGAGTTTGAAGCCTTTCATGCATAGTTGAGAATTGTGGATCTCTTGGTTTGATACTATCTGCGGCTAAACATTCCAAACAATGCAACACCTCTTCAAACTTATGATGAATTGTTTCAGTGGACCTCTTGAAGCGATTCTCAGCTTGACTCATTGATTTGAGGGCCTCCAACCATCCACAATAACATACAAAGAGCCTCAATAGAACCCGTTTCGCGTGTGGACTTGAAGTTGAAGACGTCAACAAGTTTGTTGTGTAGTGCATGAAAACAGTCCAATTACATTCAGAACATCTTGTAACAACACTTGTGATCACTCAGGTTTTCAACAACCCATTGTTGTCCTATGCATAATGGTATCCTCCTCCCCTTCTTCAAATACTTGTTAGACTGGTTCATGACATAATACCCAACCAATAGCGGCCGATTTTGGTGTTTTGACCCTTTTGCTAAAGTTTAGCCGGATCTGACCCCTATCTGAAAGTATTTCGGGATCTGACCCTTTTGCTACCACTAGGGTCGATGACGGTAGGGTATAACAGCCTACCGCCAAGGACCTTGATGGTAGGGGCGCACGCCCTACCGAAAAAAATTCTAAGTTTCAAATATAGTGTGTGTACTCACCTACCGCCGGGCGGATCGGTGGTAGGGGTACACAGGCTACCGCCAGCCTGTTTGGCGGTAGGCTAGCACCGTGCTGATGTGGATAAGTTACCTACCTTGAGGGTCCTTGGCGGTAGGCTATTATACCCTACCGCCATCGACCCTGGCGGTAGAAAAAATGTCGGATCCCGAAATACTTTCAGATGAGGTCAGGTCCAGCTAAACTTTAGAAAAAGGGTCAAAACACGAAAATCGGCCACCAATAGCATCAGCTCATTTTCAATTGTTTCATCATCACTTGCACTTTCACAGGTTTCGTCATCACTTGCACTCTCAACGTCTCAAGCATTGCTATAGCATCCGACTACCAAGGTGTGGTGTCAGATATTGATCAAGGAACAAAAGGTTCATATAGTGCAATCATCAAAGAAAGTCAAGAGGGGAAGTCAAGGAAGCATGTGCCCTAACTTCTAGCATGATTAGCTACACAAATAAACCAGTCGAGGAAACGAGATAGATTAAGGGTGTCGTCCGAGCTTTTCACGTATTTCTTTGTAACCTCGGCGCAGCTACATGGATAACTTGAAGTTACAACATTGATCAACCCACGTTACGTTCATGCCCACCCAGCAGCAGGTGTGGTTGGTGTTCACGCCCGTCGTGTTCAGCACGCACTTCGGTGTTGCCCTGGGCCGGTGGCCGTGCCCTTGGCCTCCTGACCGATCTCCTCGCATAGCTGTTGTGCGATGTATCCAGCAGGCTATGACCCAGTACAAAACAGCACAACCAGATACAGACATCACGGCCGGATCGAGACGATACAGACATCACGGCCGGATCCCGGGTCCGTCTTGCTGCTCATGTATCATTATCGGACAGGCTGGCCGTGTAAAGCTGCATGACGATTTATAATCCAAATCTTTTTGATATGTACAATCTGTGTTCTTAAACGCAATATTTTCTTCAAAATTTCGTTCACAAGTGTGAATACTTGTACTCTTTCTAGGCACATCTCCACCTACTATTTATTAAATGAGCTTTTATTTACAGAATAAATGTACGTATTCAAAATATACAGAGCACCTAGGAGCAAGACCATTAATTTTAATAGTACCGAGTATATATTTTCACGATCTTTACATTTAATGCATGATTCTCTTTCCTTTTCAACGCTCCGCTTCGGTGCATAAATTTCGACTTGCATACAGCAGTGGCATACGGATCCTCACACGAAGCTTTTTACGCTCCTTGCAAATGCAGCCCTGCGTGGTACTCCTCCTCACCCTAGCCATCCTCCCTAGCCTCGTAGCCAGCACCACCTCATCTCTCATCAACACAACGTGCTCCAAGGCTCCTAATGTGTCCTACGACCATTGTGTCAACGTGCTCTCGGCCGATCCAGCCGGTGCCCCCGCCACGGACAAGCGCGGGCTGCTCATCGCCGCCGCTCAACGAACTGTGCACAGTGTGACATCCACGGTGCATATCATGAGCGACCTAATACAAGAGCTCAACACTTGCATCCAATATTACCAACGTATGGGTGAGTTGACGGTGGGCGCCATGGATGATCTCCGAGCAGGACGAGATGCTGGACTCATATATCCAAAGTTACGGGAGGCCTCTGATGAGCCCCTAAGGTGTGATACAGTGTTCTTTCACGGAGTCAAGAAGAATCTCATGGAGAAAGAGAACTCAGAGAACAAAAATTTGGCCCACTTAGCCAGTAGCATCACATTTCTGTTGTTCAATCGGCGTTCTTAGTAGACATGGTCGGGTACTTTACTTTGAGCATCCATCGGGAGCACATATGAATAAAGAGAGATCTCCACCGCTTCCTTACATGTTGTGTCCCTTTTTTCCTTTGCTTGTTTAATCATCAATCCTCTGCAATACATATCACCTCATCAACGTTAATACATAAATTTACTACTAGGATACTTTTTTAGTTCTTGCAGGATCCTCACAAGTCACAAGTCAGCAGCACAAAACTAGAATTATTTGTCAGGAAAAAACTAGAATTATCACATTTCCAGACAGTTACCAAATCTTCCAACACTTATTTTGCATTAATTGGATACATTTTTGTGTCACTAATTCAAAATAAATGTAGTAGATAATCCCGTGGAAATCCATTTGGGTCTTAGGGACATCTAGTTTTCTTTTCTTTCTTTTTTTGCAGGAAAGAAGCATCTAATTTTCAACGGCTAATTCTCATCAGCATTGAATTATGGGAGCAGTAGTTAGAGTTTTCTTCAAAATGTCAAAGTCTTCTACACAACTACCATAAAAAAGAAAGGGATATCCTTTTGTAAATAATGTGTGAAGAGTCTAGCAATTTTAGATAAATCTTTAATGAATCTTATATAAAACCAGCGTGGTCAAGGACACTTCTAATAACTTTTATTTTCTCAATAGATTATGTTAGATCTACCAACTTCTATACCTCTAGTTGAAATCCTGTATCCAAAACAATACCCTTTTTCATACCACAGAAAATGTTGTTAAGATTGTACAAACAATTATCAAATAAAGTTAAATAAACCAGAGAATGTAATTTAGTGGAGACAGAGGAGGTCATGGGTGGTGATTTTAGTAGGTTTCAAACATTGAAGGTCTCTTATTATTAAGAGAATGTGTGAATATATGTGCTGACAAGTACGGTGTGGATTTTTGGGACATGGGTCTACAGCTCTATGCACATCCGTTTAAGAAAATAATATTCCAAAAATAGTTAAAAAAAATTGAAACTTTTTTGTGACAAACATAGTCTAACATAATATTCACGCGTAAAGTTTCGGGACAAAATGAGGTATGTCGCGTTCTGAGCGGGAAAAAAACTGCACCTACAAAATCCTGAATAGCCTGCAAAAATAAAACTGTGAATAGTAGCATTTATATAGTATTGCATCTGTTGTATTTTGCTCGGAATCCGGCATAAATCATTTTGTCACAAAACTTTAAATGTGAGTATTATGCTAGACCACGTACGATGCCCAAAAGTTTAAAAAATATTTGACTTTTTTACTAGAAAAATTCAACTCGGGTGCGCGCTCACTCAGAGGTTGCACGATGGATTTTGGCTGACGGGTTGCGTCTTATTCTTTGAGTGTAAGCTTGCTTTTTTATTAACCAAGAAAGTTCATGCTTACATGAGCGATCTCAGGAGACAGGAGGTGACAGAAACTAAGCGTGATGTCGCGGCCATAGCAAGAGTATATGCTTCAATATCTGCTTCTCTGTGCTCGTGGACAGAAGAGGCGGGCCTGGAGTTTGCCCACCGAATCCTCACACCATATGAGCTCATTTTTCTGTCATTGATACCCTTGATTGGTACGGTGGAGTTAAAATATATATTGCCGGCCGGTTCTGAAGGTACAGTTACTATGGCAACAACCTTTCTTGTTGAGCTGCAGTCTGCAGCAGATCGATCGGGGTATAGCATCTGCAGCCAGCGAGGTAGCCCATTGGGAGCTACGTTCGTCCAAGAGCATATCAAGCGTATTCTGCCTACCATCCAACGAGACAGACACATACATAGTACTGCAAACAAAACCGGACTGATCAATGTGCTACCTAGTTTTCAGACCTTGTTTGGCCTCGTTATCGCCGTCCGCCGCAGCTAGAGGGCACGCAGTGACCGTCTTGTTGCCATTGTCGCTGGGATCTTGAGGGTGCAGCTGAGGAGCAAATTTAAAGCACCTGGGAGGGGCCTGACCAGACCGAGACTCGTGACATTGCTGTGGCAGGGCTACGGACTACGCTAATCTCACTCAGGTAAGGTAACCGAGTACATCCGTATCTAGATAAATACTACTTTCTCCGTCTTATGTTCTACTAAAGTTGAGACACTTATTTTGTGACGGATGGAGTATAAGACAAGTAATATGAATCGGTCTCTTCTTTTCTTTTTTTTTTACCTTATTTTTTTTTGCCAATGGAGAGGAGGGGTAACCCAGTGGTGTACGTGTGTGTGATAGATAGGTTAGCTGATGATTCACAGCCCATGCTGCGCGAGCTAAGAATTCTGCAAAGTGATGAGCTTGCTAGGATAGGCTGTGCAGATTAGCACACGACTGTCAGTTTTTTTTTGTGTGTGTGTGTGTGCATGTGAGATTTATTTTGCATTTAAATTTTATTTTTGACAATTCTAGCCCATGACTCAAAAGAGCGCACTACTCATGTAGGTTTTCTTTAGAGAAAAATAGTTGGCATACTGGTGTAGGTAGAAACCTGTCTAAAATATGCATTGTACATACAAAATTGCTAGTTCAAATTTCCCACCAAAAAAGGATTGCTTGTTTAAATATATGAACCAGTGAAAAATATTTCTTTTGCGGTTATCCATATGAATATGCCGAAATTTGGATTTACATCTTACAACTGAGTAGTAATTGGGCTAGTCAGAATCGTCACTTCAACCGTGTTTTACAAAAGAGTCGCCAAAGGCTCTGGTCTCAAAGTCCGACCAAAAGATAGCCATTGACCCATCGTTGTATGGCCTGACTTCGTGAACATTGTTGGTTCCCCTCAAAAACTGATCAAGTGATGCTTGTTGCAGAGAATATGCCGGAAGCAGATGTCACAACAAACACACTGGCAATATCACCAGGACATGATGTAGTTGGAGATTCGCCGCAGCCTCGGCAACAAGAGATCAATATTGACCATTGTCCAGACATGTCGGTTGATGAGTTGTTGAGGATAATAAAAGGTGCCAATGGCATGCCGGTGCTTTTCATCCCCTCTAGCGATGGACAGCTGGCGGCGATTGCTGTGGATGGCCTCCATAATATAGTGTCGGTCAGTGGGGTTGAAAAAAAGCAGGAGGATTTCCGTTCGTGGGTATTGCTCCTGACCTCACTAGCTGCCACCATCACCTTCACCGCGGGCCTCGCCCCACCTGGTGGCTTCTGGGCTGCCGATGACGAGTCGAACAAGGTCGTTGCTGGTACCTCAGTTATGCATGATAAATTTCCCATAAGGTTTGCAATCTTTCACTTTAGCAACACCACCGCATTCCTCTCGTCATTGATGATCATTGGGATGCTCGCAAAAAACATATATCACAAGGAGTCCATTACCATGAAAAACCGTGTTCTGGTAATCCTTGTAGCATTTTGCTTTGTGAGCTTGGGGATTAGCTTCATCACTGGCACGTGGGTCAGCCTCATTGCCGCAGCTTATGCCACAATTATGTTTCTATGTATCATTTCGTACATTATGCTTACGAAAAAATAGTGGTGAGAACATAATAGAAGGAAAAGAAAAAGGGGAAATACTACTGCAACCTCCCTTCAGTCAAACTTTGTCTCTCTCTCTGTGTGTGTGTGTGTGTGGGCGCGCGTGCCCTAGTGAAATACACAACGATACATGATGTGTTATTGATATGCCTGACACAATCAATCAATGGTACCATGTTTCTATTTGTAAGTGTGTGAAACCACTGATTCTTTTAAATATTCATTAATATTTCCTATTTCGTGCGTGTTGTTCTATTCAATGTGTGGACCTGTGGGAGTCTCCAGTCTCTGGGTGCATATTCCAAGTGGGAGACACCCTGAGGGGCTGATCAGAGATAATATGGGTAATATGGCCAACAGCCAAAGCACGATCAAGGATGCAGGAGAGCGTGTCAGCCACAAAATTGAACAATAGGGAAGAAATCGGATATCCCTGCCTTAGGCCAAGACCATTACCAAAAAAGGACAAACAAGACCATTAACAGAAAAAATTGGATGGCCACCAGAAACTAGCTGCATAATCCAATGAATGTAAGCTCCATCAAAGCCTCTAGGGAGCAAAACATGACGGAGAAAAGACCAGCGAACACAGTCATAGGCCTTCTCAAAATCAAGCTTCAGAATAATAGAGTTATTATTCTCGTGCAAGCTAATATACCGTCCAGAATAAAGCGCCCCTTGATAAACGCAAATTGGGTCAGAGCAATAACTCAAGTGAGAGATGAAGGAAATATGCCCTAGAGGCAATAATAAAGTTATTATTTATTTCCTCATATCATGATAAATGTTTATTATTCATGCTAGAATTGTATTAACCGGAAACATGATACATGTGTGAATACATAGACAAACTTAATGTCACTAGTATGCCTCTACTTGACTAGCTCATTAATCAAAGATGGTTATGTTTCCTAACCATAGACATGTGTTGTCATTTGATTAACGAGATCACATCATTAGGAGAATGATGTGATTGACTTGACCCATCCCGTTAGCTTAGCACTTGATCGTTTAGTATGTTGCTATTGCTTTCTTCATGACTTATACAAGTTCCTACAACTATGAGATTATGCAACTCCCGTTTACCAGAGGAACACTTTGTGTGCTACCAAACGTCACAACGTAACTGGGTGATTATAAAGGAGCTCTATAGGTGTCTCCAAAGGTACATGTTGAGTTGGCGTATTTCGAGATTAGGTTTTGTCACTTCGATTGTCAGAGAGGTATCTCTGGGCCCTCTCGGTAATGCACATCACTATAAGCCTTGCAAACAATGTAGCTAATGAGTTAGTTACGGAATGATGCATTATGTAACGAGTAAAGAGACTTGACGGTAACGAGATTGAACTAGGTATTAAGATACCGACGATCGAATCTCGGGCAAATAACATACCGATGACAAAGGGAATAATGTATGTTGTTATGCGGTTTGACCGATAAAGATCTTCGTAGAATATGTAGGAGCCAATATGAGCAGCCAGGTTCCGCTATTGGTTATTGACCGGAAACAGTTCTAGGTCA